TTACTAAACATCTTGCAAAAATGTCATTATCTACCGGCTGACTTTGGAAAAATACTCTACTTGTAACTTCAGAATTCTCTTTCTTTAGCTACTATTTATTAAATAAGGGTTTAATAATATCAAAATACAAGTAACTTTATAAAAGTTCCATAAGAAATTAAGAAAGATTTGTATCATTTTCATTTTTCATCTCTTTTTCTTACATTTTGGCTCTCTTTCTCTATCCCGATTGCCCCCTCATTGTTCTCATTACGAGAACCATTTTCCTTAATTTTACTAAAAGTTTGATTATGATCATGCTATGGAATATTTTCAAAATTCCATGCAGTTTGATTCTCTATCACCTACTCATTGCTATAACCTTGTTCCTTTTCATGCATATGTCGAGTAGAATTTTTTGTCACTTAAAAAGAAAGAAAAAAAAAAAAAAACAATTAAAAGATCATTAATGAGGAATAACATAAGATGATCTCATTTCCACTTCACTTTTGTCAAAAGCATGATTAGCCTTGCTCCCACACAATTTTGAGGACCTTGTTATGTCATTCTGAAGCACTTCCCTTTATTAGAATGCGTTCTTAGTTATGCATGTTAGTAAATCATTGTGTTAGTCAGAGCATTATTACTAAAATTAATTGGAATCATAGAATTAAGCTTTCATTATTTCTTCCTTCATATAAGGTGAGTTTTTATAATGAACTAATTAAAAGCTGTTTTAGAAGAAAGCTTGCTTGAAACTTGTAAGTTGGCAAGATTGAGTTGATGAATTTTTTGTTGAGGAGTCTCAACTGAGGCTAGACAAGAGGGAGCAGATTAATCAGAGGGTCATCTGTGACTTGTGATAGAAGCTGATGATAGAGAAATCTCTATCTAGTTGGGGACAGCTTGTTGATTATCATTAGAATATATGAATGCATGGAGAGAGAGAGAGAGATAAATCAAGGTTTTCCATTTAAAAGTGAACAAAGAGGGAGAGAGGGGAAATATGAGAAATGATAATCATTGGGCAAGTGAAATTGGAGGTTTAGTGAAGCATAAGATGCAACAAAAGCAGACAATCAAGCCATATATTTTCTGCTAACACCTATCTTAACTTTACAAATTAAAATAGAGTGAGCAGAAGTTAATCTTTTTAGATCGTCACACAATGTAATTACACTTTCATAATCATCTAATTGAATTCATCATTGCCATCAATATGCAAGTATTCATAATTTAAATCATTAAAATATAATACATACTTTCTACATACTTTATAGAAATTTCATACATTCCAAAAGTTGTCTCTAGCATTGTTTAAAGAGGTATTTGAGGTTTACGTCTCCAGGCGCGCTTCGAATTGAGGCTCACAAAAAAAGCATAGAGGCTTGAGCCTCATTATCACCGATGAGGCTTACGCCTTTTTGGTCTTGTGGCTTATGCCTTTTTCGTCAGAGGCATACACCTCAACGCATTTTGCCTTAAAACGTTTGAGGCATCATCTTGATCAAGTTATGCACAAAAAAAAAATATATATTATATTTTATTTAATATATTTGATACAATGCTTCAAAAAGGTCATAAGATTAATTTGTTCTTTTATTTTAAATCATATTGGATTTCAAATTAATTGTAGTAATGAGAAAATTATAATGAATGAAAAACATTTTAAAGTTGTCAATAAGATAGAATTAGATGATAATAAACATGATGATTATTTTAAAGATGACAAAAGCAAAGACGAGGCCACCATGCATCTTGGACCTCATATTTCAAACTTCTATCTTATATCAATTTTTAAGATTAATATTGATAGTTATGTCTTTATGATAGTAAAATAAATATATGTATTAATGGTTTTACTTATATTATTTCATATTTTTAATTTTATGCATTTTTACTTTTTTTGAGGCTTACATCTCGCCTCGCTAAGGCAAAATCCTCGGTTCCTGATTTGTCCTTTTTAATCTTTGGTCTCTAGTATACATCACAGACAATTTTCTTTTTTATTATATTCAAAATGATGAATTTAAAACCTTAAGATATGGTTAAACTAGTTCACTTGACTATGACCCCATTTATTTTTTTCTTTTAGCTGAAAAACAGTGAACTTAATATATGATGAGCTTGAAGTTCCCGGTTTGTCCTTTTTAAACTTTGGTCTCTAGTATTCATCATTATCATTTTTCTTTATTAAATTCAAAATTATAAATTTTAAAACCTTAAGATAGGTTAAACTAGATCACTTGACTTTGCACCCATTTATTCTTTTCTCTTAGTTGAAAAATAGTGAACTTATATGATGAGCTACAAGTACTGTGGATAAACAATTCTAATACATGATTCAAAATAAAAGAAAAAAAATGATAACATGTATGTGATAGGAAAGTGTCGTACGCGCTTCCACGGAGATTAGGGCAAACAAAGTATTTTACTTCGCCAACATAAAACTACATAACCCAAATATGTAAAAAGATAAACCTACAATTCAAGACGTAGATAATTCTTTTTTAAATCCTAACCATAAGATTCAAGATAACAATAATATATGACATAACCCTAAACATACTAAGCCCTGTTTTTACCCCCTAATAATAACTAACAAATGATTAAATTGCTCTTTTAGGCTTACGCTTAATATAAATCTGCAAATTATCTGTTGGGCTTAGCGTCCACTCAGTGGAGGTCTCATAGGATGCTTATTTTCTGAATTTACATAAGTATCTTTAATTATAAACATGAAAATTTAAGCGCTTCTATTTTGAAGCAAAACAAAATTTAAATTCACATAAATAGAAAAACGTTCATATACAGTAAATACACCTATCCGTAATGAAATAAAATGCATCATTTTAATTCTAAATATTTAAATTATTACTTGTTTTCCTTTTTCATTCCGTCATTTTTTTTGTTGGTGGTCTTAAAAATGTCATGTAATGCTTCTAGGTATTTGTACATTCATAACATAAGGATATGATCTAACCGGTTGGCTAACTATTTTTAAATGACCTTTCAATTTAAGGCTAAATTTTTAGTATTAGAAGAGAGAGTTGGGAGCTTTGTTTTAGGCTCTACTATGGCTTACATCGTCAGGTTTTTCATGTGCAGGTTATTATCATTATTTACTGTTACGTGTATCAATATAGAACGTTTTCTGTAAAATATCTATATTCAAATGTTTTACCATGCATTCTATTATGAATCATTCATAAGATTTAAGAATCATGAACTTCTTGAAACAAAAAACTATATAAAAATATAGTAATTTCACCGGCAATATTAGGTGTTAATTACTTGCTCAATATGAGTTTTTTTTAATAAAATTACTCCTGTAAATATTTGCTTTCTATATTAGAGATTGGGTTTCTCAACAAAATTCGAGGTTCCTCGTCACAAATTTCCATTTTTGTTTTTTCTCCTCAAAATTTTACTCTTTCATAAACAATATACAAGAAAAATCAATTATTCATTTAATTATCAATCCATAAATGATTAATTTAATTAATTTCAAATTTTTTTTCTTGAAGGAATTCCTTCTTATTAGACTTTGTGTCTACAAATTGAAAATCAGATTCTTGCTTTTTTAGCTTTCCTCCTTGCTTACTTTTCTTCTCCTTCTCCTTCTCCTTCCTTTTCTGTCTTCTCCTCCTTTGCTGTTTTTCCTCTCCTCTTCTTTTTTTCTCCTCCTCTTTTCTTCCCATATCCTGTTTTTTTCTTCTCTGGCTGCCTAACCCTAGAGCTGCTCTTTGCTCTTTGTTTCATGCTTCTAGGCTGTCTTACAGGAGCAGGGAAATATAAAGGGATAAGTTAGAATAAATATCTATATTAATTATCTATTTAATCCGCCTGTCCAATTGTCTCCACCTTGCCAGCCACTGGTTTGGAGAAAACTACAGTATCATCTTAATAAATGACCAGTGAAATTAATTAAAAGCATTAGGAAATGATTTCAGTATGAAATTAATTAATTATTGCAATTAGGCTAAGTTATTTATTTATTCTTTTATATTTCAAAATGATCGAAAAGAAATTTAAAAGTTTATAAAAAGGCTTTCAATCATTTTTGGAATGTACCAAAAAAGGTGTATAATTTTTAGGAAAAAAATTGTGGATACCTTTTTGAAAATTTATGGTATTGAATTACTTGTTGAAGCCAAGGGGAGTGAGATTAGTGGTCAATATGTGAGCGAAACCAACAATCATCGGGCGAGAGAGTCAAGCACGACTTTTGATTTCCAAGCAAATGAGATTGGTAGTCGTCGTGCTTTGATTAGTGAGATTTTTGTGTTCATGCGGGATAAAAACAGTTGGGAGAGAAATGATTGATGTGTGAATGGCTAACTGGCTATTTTTTAAATAAACTTGAAATATAAAATATACATATATATTATCTTTGGCTCAAAATCTATCAAACTGTTTTTATGCAATTAGAATTTGAGAGGAGGGAGAGCTACTGCCTTAAATTTATTGAATTAGCTAAAGTTGTTATAAACAAGTTTGTCTAGTATCATAAAATTTTTGTTGAATTTATAGTTACAGAAGTATCTAATTTTTTATGTTAAATCTATCATTATTTTCAATAGATATTATTAAATAAATAAAATTTTATTACTTTCTAGATAATTAAAATTAATTTGCTGATTTCTTGCAGCCTTTTTAACTAACGTGAAGCGATTATTTATGACAGTTGGGATACCTTTTGATTAATAATATGTTATTTCTCATCCTTCTAAAAGAAACATTTTCTTAATAGGTTTTTTTTTATTAATTTTTTGTATCTCTTACACAATCTATGGTTTCTTTAGAAATTTAAAGTTTGTAAGTTATTCTAAGAAGTTTCATAACTCTTAGTTGGATGAGCATATTAAGGCATTTTCTTTGTTTGATCTCTTATTATCTTGGATTTTAATTTGTTGCCTCTTTATTGTATCTTGTGCGCGCGCGCGCAAACACTCACACTGTATTTCTTATTTTCATATTTTATGGGTGCATTTTGAATATTCTTGTTGATATGTAAACAGGCATGGAATGTGTATGGTGTTCTTAACTACTTGCAAGCGCTTGTTGAAAAGTCCATGATCATTCAGATATTGGAACGGGAGAAGGAGGGTCTTGAACAGTTCACTGCTACTGATGGGTATGATTATGAAGGTGGAAGCAATGTTCTAAAAATGCTGGGCTATTACAGCATGATTGGGTTGCTGCGAGTCCATTGCCTTTTGGGTGACTATCATACCGGACTGAAGTGTTTAGCTCCTATTGATATAAGCCAACAAGGTGTATATACTACAGTGATTGGGAGCAATATATTTACTATATATCACTATGGGTTTGCAAACTTGATGCTAAGAAGGTGAGCTTGCCTCAAACTGAAATGCCTTTTAATGGATAATTAGTATTTTTCTAAATTTGAGTTAATGTTATGGGGCTTCTCCTATGAAGAAGAATGAAAACAAGAGTTGAAAGATTCCTACTGTCTTTATTTCACTTTTATTATTCTGATCTATAGATCAATGTATCATGCATTTAAAATATTTTTCCAGTTTTGTTCAACGGAACACTTCTTTTGTTTCATTGTTCTATTAGTTTCCATGCTAGGGAATTTGAAAAAGTATGGCGATGATCTTTCATTGAGCTTATTTTTATTTATTTAAATGCGTTGATGTTTTATATTATTGACTATTAATATTCTTTTTCTTCACAAATGTCTTATACTGTTGCTACATTTATTTTTAAATTATTTTGTTCCTATGTGAAAGGTATGTCGAGGCTACAAGGGAATTTAATAAGATACTTCTATACATCCTGAATTTCAAACAATACCATCAGAAATCTCCACAATTTGATCAGATATTAAAGAAAAATGAACAAATGTATGCTCTACTAGCAATTTGCCTTTCTTTGTGTCCCCAAACCAAACTCATAGAGGAGAATGTTAGTGCTCAGTTGAAGGAGAAGTACAATGATAAGATGTTAAAAATGCAGAGATTTGATGATGAAGCATATGTAGTGTTTGATGAACTTTTCTCTTACGCCTGCCCCAAATTTATTACTCCTTCAGCTCCGGTTCTGGAGGAGCCTCTTATAAATTACAATCAGGTACTCACTTTATTTGATATCTTTTTATTATGATCAATTTATTAGTATTTTGGATTTCTGTTGATATTAAGCGTTCTTGTTTTCATAAAGTAATTCCCATATCGTGCATTGTTTTACCTTTATCTGGTGGATGTCGTCTATAGAGGGACCTGAGCTATGTACCATATGGCGACCATTATGCTTCCACGATAGTAGTGAAAAGTAAAATTAAATTCATAGGATAAAGAAGAAAATTAGTAGAAGTAACATGGATGAAAGCAAAGAAAGGATTACATAAAATAGGTTTAACACAACAAGCCATGCTAAGCAAGAACGGATGCAGAATGAGGTTTCATAAACCCTATCCCAACTTATTGCGATAAGGTTATAATCGCTGCCAATAATGCTGGAATAATTGCAATCCGTGTGCGATTTTTTATGAACAAATGTGGATAATGATCTTCACATTTTGCACTGTTTCAGCTTTACTGATTGATGATAAGATCTAGAGGGATATGGCCTATTTGTCTTTCGTAGAACCTGTTATATGGTGAAATTATACTTAAACAACAATAATGGTAAATACATAAATGTAGAGGAATTATGAATAAAAAGTAGTAGATTGAAGATTGACTTACATTGACTTGCAAGAGATTTTCGTGAAATAGGTCTAACATCATCTGCCACTTTAATGCGAATAATGTCTTGGGGTGCAGATTGTTTATCTCAACTAAATTACGTGATGTATTGAATCATATAGTTCATATTTATGATTCAAAATGCCAAAGTTCAATTAAAACCAGAAATTCTCCTTTTAATATGAGCTCGAAAATACTAAAAAGTCGTGTAAAATGATAATATAATGATTTCCTAAATCCCAAATAGAAATCTACTAAATCAAAGAAATTTACAAAAAGTTTAAAATCGGCAAAAAAATGCATTGATTAAGATTTGCATTAAAAAAAAAACCATTTATAACAAATTAATTAAAAGCAAGCACTCACAAAATCAATAAGAATTTTTGTTGTGGAAAACATAATAAGAAAATAATTTACGAAGTAGAGAATATTTAAACTTATTCTGTTATCAACATCACATTTTCATTGAGCAAAAAGTTAAATACATGCCTTACATTTTACTATTTATGATCATTCATAGTTAAAATTCAAATCCCAAAAGATGTAGATCACAATACAATAAACATTATTAAATCGCTGAATGAAAATCCAGTTCACACCAAAATAGATGGCATTGCTCAATTGTAAGGAAGTCTAACACATTAATAGCATAAACTGACACCAGGCAGTCATGAAACAAGAAGAGTTGATACAGGAGAGCATCCGTGAAGGGAGCCATATATTTTAGTAGTATCCAAGGCTACAACATTTCTAAAGTTTGCAAATCAAAATCTATTATACGATCGGAAGGCTATAAGGATCAAATGCTTTTGTAATTATTATATGCTACATCTACAGCTAAAGTAACTAAAATGGGAGTTCACATCATTCTCTTGGGCCAATTTGGATTCAACAAATTTGGTATTTGATATTGACCATGCAAATTAACACTTAAATTTATGCTTTTTGCAATGCATTATATGAATCATCTGTGTACGAGGTATCTCTAAAACCGATCATCAGTAGTTTACAGTTTTCTCATCCTACATTTTTCAAGAGTAAGGCATTTATAATTGTTTGTCATGATGCTAAATGAGAATTTTAAAGGAGTAGAAGAAAATAAATAGAATTTGAAGTCATTCATTGCTGATTCATGAAATAAAGTCAAATTAGACATGCTGAAAATTGAACTAATGTCAAAACTTTGTGGACATTTTTTATTTGTAAGCGCTTGTTGGAATGGGTGTATGATTTTAAAGAATATACTCATATTTAATTTCATAATGACCATTGTAGAGAACTTTTTTGGTTTCAGACTTAGAATTAATTTAACACCAAGTTTTAATGTAGCATTATCTTATTAGCTGGTTTAAAACACTACATAACTCTTGTTCATGTCAATCATAGACTTTTAATTGTCGTAAGTTATCCTTATCCTATGAATATCTTCATTCAAATCCTACAAATACTGCTAATTATGTAGAATATGATATGTAGAAAGTAATGAAAATACTAAATCACTTATATGTCATTAGAAAAAAATAATAAATAATTATAATCAATTCAGTAAAAATGAGAAAGAATATTTAAAATAAATAAATAACAAAATTATAATATGTTATATTGGTGAACCTTTTGGAAACAGATTAGACCCAAAGGGCACTGCATATGATTTTTAATGAAATAGGCACCTTTATAATTTATTTGATGGGTATTATTTACATTTAAATTTTATTTTAAATTATTTTAAATTAAGAAGTTATCAAAAATATTGAATCAATATAACTCTCTATAAGATTTTATTTTTAATGTGGTATACCAAGGAATCATGACCTAAAAATACAATATATGTGAATTTGAACATTCATCATAAGAATAATATCAATAAATAACTCATAAAGAGTTACATTTCTAGATTTCTCATTTTATTCATCAATTATAATAAACATTCTTTCACATTCATGTATTGTTTTAAGCTCTATTAGTTCACATTCAATTATTATCTTATGCTTCATTTTTCTGTCAAACTCAAATTTGGATTTTTATTTAAGTATAGGTTTAGTTCCATGAATTTGGTCTTATTTAATTGCAGCTTTACATTCCATAACACCTGATGTTGATCTGTATTGTTACTATAAATTATTTTTTTTGTATTTATTACATCTTCAAAAGAATATTCATGAACGTCAATTTCTTCAACGAAATCTGATTCAATCATAACTTACATGATTTTCATATGTATATTTGACATGATCTATCATAGATATTGCTGATTTTTTAGGGATATTAATCATACTTTTGTTAATCTAATTGAATGATTATATTATTTTTTTAATATCTAGAGCTGTGTCTAATGACTCAGGCAAAGGTTTTTGATGGATTGCCAACTTGATTCCTCACTAATTTTTCGCCTAATATCTTAAATGTAAAGTATAAAATGGTAAATAATAGTCTTTAGGCAAGTAGCTAAATGGATAATGGCAAATGTAGCTTAGTTCTTCACTAATATATTTCTATGGCCTTTAATGAAAAACATATAATGGTAAATAATAGTCTATAAGCAAACAATAGTTAGCTACAAACCTTTTAACTTCTGCCTAATATTTAGAACATACTATACTGTTTGCAATCTTTAAATTGTTCATGTAATTGATCTTTGTAATCACCAAATAACAAATATTTCACCTTGAGTTTATGGTCTATATCAACCTATTTATATTTAGTTGCAATATTTTGTTATAATGATTGATCAGGTCATATTAGTTTTGATTCAACACATTCAACTCCTTGATAGCCAATGCTATTTCTATCAAAGAAGATTCTTTAAATTTTTAATCGAATTGAAATTTTCTTAAGATTTTAATTTTGTTGAATGCAAAGTTACATGTCTAAACCTCATGATAGTCACGTTGCAATTATCTTGAATCATAACCTCCATGATCTTGTTTAATTAGCTTCATTTATGCTAATTTTAATTGACCCACTTTGAATCTCTACTTATATATAAAATGATTATGTAACCATAAGCTTTAATATCATTTTCACTTAATGTTTTCGAGTTTAAGGTTTCTAATGCCACTAATGCAATGCATGAATCTATGGAAACAATAACGATACTAGAGATACATTGTTCCAAAGATATCAATTAAAACAAGAACTTGTCTTTTTTGGATATACACACAATTGTTTAACGATCTCCTAAACTAAAGAAATTAGTTTGAATTTAAATAACCAAGAACACATTGATTTTAACGGATTTCACTAAAAATTAACTATGCCCTGCACCATACCATTAGATGCTCTATCCTTAAATTAAGTGTCAGTTTCAATCCTACCAAGCATAGAGGATTGACCATAAATTTAAATTTTTTATTAAACAGGAAGTTTTAAGATACATACTTCAACTTTTACTATTTGTAGAACTCTTTTTTTCCCCTCTACAAATTAAATCCAAATAATGTTTGAACAATAGCAGTCAATGTATAGCAGCGGAATCATACATATTTTTGCATAAATGAATTTTGTTGCAATAGTTACTGAAATTTGCTTGGTTTTATCTCAGGATGCTTACAGGTTGCAATTGAAGCTGTTTCTGTATGAAGTGAAGCAACAGCAGCTACTTGCTGGTGTTCGCAGTTTCTTGAAACTATACTCAACAATATCTATTGCAAAGCTTGCTACATTCATTGAAGTGGATGAGGCTACTTTGAGGTTGTTTTATTTATTTTTTCTTGTGGCTTAACTCTTTTGACATCTGACAAATTTCCTTTAAAGAGATTCTTTTTTGACATGATTTTAAAATTCTTTTACTGATTTTTCGATCAATCATATAAGATATCGTATATCGAACGTTGCAATTCCATTATTAGTCCTAGCCTCACACAACATCATGAATTGTGTATATCAATCCTCTTATTATTTCTGCTGATGGCTATTATCTTTTATTTTTATCTTTAAACTTGCAGGACCATTTTGATGACATACAAACATAAAATGCATGCCGTTGATAGTGATGGAAAAATCATCAGCAATTCTAATTTGGATTTCTACATTATTGATGTAAGTTCTCTCTTTGTATTCAACCTTCAGATGTAGATATTCCATTGATTTATAATATTGGAAAGTTGTGAAATATGTTAGTGCTTCAGTATCTTTCAGCTGGGATTATAAATGTTGCTAATGTTGGCCTAAAGTTTTGGTCATACTATTATTCAAAACTCAGATTAATGCATTAAATTTTTTACTCTCATATTACCGTTACTTTATGACGAGATGTATTCATCAAATACATGATTTAATGATTAGTTGTGTCTAAAAATAGTTCCTCTACTTCATTTTTTCTTAAAAAAAATTTGAAGAGTTGAACGCAACGCTTTCCCCTTTAGCATGTTACTGGTCAATACCTCTTCCGCGTCACCCGCCTTGCAGTCTAATCTAACGAAGTTCTGAAAACGTCCACATTTTGCTGTTTCTTTTGTAAAGCTCTTTTTGCTTTTCATTTTCTGATACTTAGTTGAACGCAGGACATTATTCATGTTTTGGAGACAAAGCCACGAAAGCTGCACGGTGATTACTTTTTGCATCAAATCCTAAAGGTTAGTAGGAAAACACCCTTTGATTTCCTTTTGGTTTCCATATAAGTTCTAGTTAGTGGAAATTTTTTTTTTTGAAAAAATTTCCTATTGGCGTCCATATAATATCATTGCTGATTGATTAATATTGTATTGTATTCATCTCAAGGCAAATCTAATGATTTTATTACAAACTTTTATCATGTTAGTGAAATTGATTAATTGTATATTGCATTTATTTTAAAGCAACTCCAATGATTTTGAATTCGAATTTTGTGGCATGGTAGAAATCTATAGGGGTTTCCTACCAAATTTTGGTGGGGGTGTGATTTTGTAATTATTGGATTTGCTCTGAGATGCGTGCAATTTAATTATCAATCGACTAATCACGCATTGCATTCATCTTGAATTTTAAATTACATTCTTTTGATACGTTAGAAATACATAGGGTTAGAATATCCCGACCAAATTTTAGCGAGGATTGATTCAACAATAGTTGGATTCGCTTTGAGATGAGCGCAACATAAATAAATAATTGTTTGCATTCATCTGAAAAAAAATTCAATGGCTCTACAATACATTTGTGTGCATGGCAAAAATCTGTAGGGCCACCGAACCAAATCCTCATGAAATTGATATTAAAATCATTGGATTTGCTTTCAGATTAGTGCACTCATGTAAAGCCAATTGAATTTTCTACACTAATATAATTTTAATTTTACGTTAATCTGCATGAGCCAAATCCATGTGATAGTTGCTATTCCTAATTTAGTTACTCGCCTCTTTTGCTGAGTTGCAGTTTGACGAGATAATTGGTGAATTGGAGAGAGTAAGACTGGACTAAGTTTTCATCTTTTCTGGTCTTCTCCCCTGCAAGAGGTTTCTGCTTTCTGGAATTACCTTATTATGGTAGATGTGTTGTCAGAGTAATTCTGTGTAGCTGAATATGGATAGCAAGTTCTCGTCTTTTAGTAATTTATTTTTTCTGTACACTTTTTGTTTTTTTAAGTTTCCAGGTTTTAAATTCGGCTGTGTTATAATTGGATTTCTTCTCAATTTACATCAGAAATTCAAGTTAGAAACCTGGTTTCAAAACTGGATTGGATCCTTTTTAACTTTGATCTCGTCATTCCACATGTTCAATTCATGCTCAAAATTATTTTTGCATTGAACCATGATTGAATCATTTATAATTGGGGTTGAATAGCCGATGAATAGGGAAAAAAATTTGCATGCGATAGATGTACACAACGTTGCGTACGATATTGAAGTTATACCGATGGTACAAGGGGGTTATATCCGCGGTATAACCCCTTGTAACCTTCTGTAATATATTTGTAACATAAGATTAGTTTTGCAAGTTATACCGATGGTACAAGGGGGTTATATCCGCGATATAACCCCTTGTAACCTTCTGTAACATATTTGTAACATAAGATAAGTTTTGTGCTTCTGTTATCATATATTAAAAATTTATTAGTAGGTTACAAGAAAGTTACAGAAGGTTACAGATAAGTTACAATGAGTTATACTGCGGATATAACCCTCTAATACCCTCGGTATATGAGTTATACTGCGGATATAACCCTCTTGTACCCTTGGTATACCTCAATATCGTACGCAGCACTACGTACGTCTATCACACAAATTTTTTCCGATGAATAGAACCAATTTTCTAAAATTAATCAAATTTAGTCTTTTTATTTTGGCTAATTGCTTAAAAAGAAAGGTATTTAGATTAAAAATGAAGGAAACATTGTCTCACTTTAACTGTGAATCGGTCATTCCAATGGTCAGATCCAATTCAACATTATTTTTGCGAGGAACAATCATTGAATCTGTCTTAATTGTGGTTAAACCGGCTAACTGATGTTCCAATGGTCAGATCCAATTCAACATTATTTTTGCAAGGAACAATCATTGAATCAGTCTTAATTGTGGTTAAACCGGCTAAATAGGTCTAATTTTCAAATATTAATCAAATTTAGCTTTTTTATTTTGGCCATTTGCTTAAAAAAGAAAGTTATTCAAATTAAAAATGAAGAAAATATTGTTTCATCATTTTGATTTAAAACATTATTTTAGAATATTTAAAAGTAAATTGTTTTAAATTAAAATTTATTTTTTAAATTAATAAAAATAATATTATTGTATCATTTAATTATTTTTTACAATAATTTAAGTTAGATTTAATATTTAATATGTTGTCCGATTAATTTTTAAACCTTGGTAATACATACACACATACATAGTAATACATACATATTTTTGGGTGTCATGTTGGTAGGTAGTTGTGTTGTTAGTCGTAAGATTCTTTTGATTCGGGTTTGATTTCTACGGGAATGGATATCACATATAGAGAGCGGTATTCTTAAATATCACAATATATATATACGCTGCGTACTTAGATGGGTTGGTCTGACATTTGCTTGTCAGTTGTAAGTCTATTGTGGTCTGGGGTTTGGTTCCCCCCAAGTGTAGGGTGTGGAACTCGAATTCTTAAGCATATGAATGATGATCGGGACTCGTAAGGTTGTATGAGAGAACCCAATAGAGACACCCTACTCATACGATACGAAGTACAATAATACCCTAACAAAAAGATACAGATAAACTCAAACAAATTAACATGTAGAAAACAAAAGCTAGAGACGAGTCAGTTTAGTCCTGCCTCTTCCTCTAGTTTTATAAGCGGAGCCAAATAACAAACTTTGAAGTGTCGTGCCATTGCCAGGAGTAACCAATGTATCATCCATTAAATTTTCAAGTTGGAGTGTTCCCTCAGCCTTCTTCTTCCACTGAGAAGTGTAAACCTGCCATTTTTCATCACAAGACTGGCTCGTGTGATAATCAGTCTGATTTAGAACTGCAGTAGAAGGAAAAGCAATGGTTGTCACAACGATTGGTTCCAGTGTATATGAAGTGTGAATTGTCACCTTTGCACGTAATTCTTCTTGAATAGGGACATTATCCATTGTAGTATGACCAGGAGAAGGGTTCCCAGGGGCAAACACAAACTCCTATCTTGTGGTGATTCCCTCATCAGGTCGACTGTCATCCAGTTTGTTAGGAGCGTGTTCAGGCACATGGGGTGCACTACAATATGTTCCTCTTTTGTTGTTAGGAGCGTGTTCAGGCACGTGGGGTGCACTACAATATGTTCCTGTTTTGGACTATTAGTTCTCAACTGTGGGTGCAATATGAAACATTTTTCCTGCGGGTGTCCAAACATCTTGCAGTGCTTGCAATAGTAAGATTTTTGTTCCATAATGATTTTTTGTCAATAAACATTGTGAGTAGAGCCAAACCAAATTTCTTCTACATCTGGTAATGTAATATATCTTTCAATCAAAATCCTTGCAATAGAGGGCCTTGAGAAATGAACTGCGGGTAAATTTTATCTGTAAATGTTTTCCAAGGATAGTCTCATTTGCATATAAGATAGGTAGGTCAAAAAATTGAAGTTTGAGTTCAGGTAATGAGAACCAGAAAGGTGCAATTGGGGGTTCTTGACTGGGATCAAAATCAGGAGTCCATTTGACCAATTTCATATGTTTGTCCTCGACTGTGATGAATTTCTTTGAGAAAATCCTTGTGTAGTCTTCTTCTATACTCAGCTGTATCATAACATATCTTTCATCGAAATGACCCACCTGTCAAGCCCCAACTAGTTTGAAATATTCAAAAGCCTTCCTGATAGTCTCCATCTCAGGGCAACCTAATTGGAACTTTCTAACTAGAGTAAATTAGTATTTTCCTGCACGAGTTGAAATTTCAGCGTCAGAGAAGAATATTGCTGGTTTTCCTGCCTTTTCTTCTACTTTCTTGATGAGATTGCAGTCTCCATATCCTGTAACAAAATCATGGTACATCTGCGAGAATATTGGACTACCTGCGAGGTGGAAGTGGGAGCTGCATTTGTAAATCACTGTAGCATTGGAGGGTTTGACAGGATTATCATTCACAGGCAAGGGCGGCAACATAGTAAAGCCCTGAGGCCATTACTGCGGCCAGTGCCACGCATCGGCTCAGTCGCAGATAACGCAGTTGTTAAGAAGAAGCAGGGCCTGTAGAGACGCACCGGGTAGCTATGCCGCCAGAAGAAGCAAACGACGCGAGAAAAGCGAGGCACGACGGGTTTCGGCACAGCTGTCGAACACACCGGGTAGCTCTGCCGCCAGACGAAGCAGACAACGCGAGAACGCGAGGCACGTCGACGACGCAAGTACTGATGACAAAGACGACGTCAGTATTTACCAAACCGAAGACGAAAGCGAGTTTTTCCTAAAACGAAGGCGAAGTCAACGCGAGGCGCTAGCGGAACGAAGACATGTTATTTTTAAATATATATATCTATAGTTATGGTTATAGTTATAGTTATTTGGCTAGTAACCTTCTTCTGTGAAGTTGGGGCATCTAAAGAGAGATTTACAGTAACGTTTAACGAAGGCATGAGGCTTAGAATTAATTGAGCTAGCTGGATATTTAAATTTATGGAGAATTAATAATACATTGTTCATAAATTAATTTTTATCTAATCAAATATAAATTTTTGATGAATTAGCGAAAGATAAAAAACATTTAAATAAAATATAATGCTTGCTTTTTAATAAATTCATTATAATTGGCTTATTTTTATCCGATGCAAATCTTAATGGACTAATGCTTTTTGCCAATCTTAAGCATTTTGTAAATTTCTTCGATTCAGGAGATTTGTTGGGGGGAATCTAGGAGATCATTAAATTATCTTTTTACACAGACTAATTGCACTTTTCAGCTCATATTAAAAGGACACAATATCTGATTTCAATTGATATTTGGAATTGTGAATCATAAATATGAATTGAGTGTGGGTTTGGTTACTAGTAAAACATACATTTGTTCATTTTTCTTCAATATCTGATCAAATCATGGAGATTTGTGATAGTACTCTTTGAACTTCAGGATTTATAGAAGGATCTTATTAAATTCCCTTGTGGCCTCGACATACATTTCACATAGGAACACATAGCATTATAAGATGTTTGTGAAGACATAATAATAATAGTTATAATGATATAAAACAATATAGTTAAATGAAGAGAATAATAGTTATAATGATATAAAACAATATAGTTAATAAGCTAAATGGAAGATAATAACAGTACTTATTCATGTTCTCTAGCATGGAAACTAATAAAACATTGAGACAATAAGAAGTGTTTAGGTGAATAAAACAAGAACAAGTACTTTAAATGTGTTCTACATTGATGTATGGACCAAAACCATTAAAATTTTACTTTTTGACAAAATTCTATCAAGCAAGAATTTGGCTGATATATTCAAATTTTGTCAAAAAGTAAAATTGCCCAAAGCATAGCAATGCAAAAAGATAACATAGATTATAAATTTGGTTGATTTCTAAACCAAAAAGGAGCCATTTAGGTTCATACCAGCCAATCCTATGTATTTACATATTTAACAATAATACTTCACTTTTTAAGCTTCATACTACCCATGTCTTTTATATCACATAAAATACACCTTTCCATGCATAGAAAAGATGGTATATATGCCAAAAGAAAAAAAGGTGATATTAATTAGATAAAAGTTCATAAAAGTGCTAAATTAGATAATGCTTGAACTATTTTCAACTTAAGACTCTGCAGGCTAAAATGATATTTTTGTAACTCCTGCTAAAAATTAATGAATCATTTTGACACTTTTCTCTTATAACAAAATAAATTACTGTAAAACAAATCTAGAGAAAAGCCATATATACCAAATCAGAAGAGTATTTTAGTTCACTTCAATAGTTCTGCGAATCATGATGAAGCTTATGCATAGATAACAAATGAAGGAATTTGAATACAAGCAAATAAAAATCAAAATTAAATTACTTCATGACTGTTTCACTTCACCTCAGTGGTGCTGTGAACGAAGGCTCCATAAAAAGAAGATAAAATCAAAATAAATTTACTTTGATGTATTTAGTACAACATTAAACATCAAACTTGATGTAGATCTTACCCCTTAAGGACCCAATATGCAGATTGATATAATTCAGCAGTAGAAAAATGGTTGGGTTCGCAAAAATCTCATTTTTCCCCCCTCGAAGTTACCGCCGGTGGGGTTATTATTATTTACTGCAATTTGAAAAATAATCCGGCGGTTATCGGCAACCTCGAAGAAGATGAGAGGTTGTTGGGCTGCTGATTGAAGGACTGGAGACATGCTTCGTTTTAAGGCTTTTGGTTTTTTCAAGAGGTGTGTTGCAGCCGGTGAAATCTAGAACACGGCCTTCAGCCTGCGTTGGCATTAAACTGCTAACATGAATGATATAAAAGAGGTATAAATGTAAATATCAACATTTAGGTGTTAGGAATTGTGTGAGGTGTATGTAGATCTTCCAAAAATATAAACAGTTATTATTGTTTCATTTAAAAGCAACATATAATTTCATTTCATGATATAAGCCATAGTTACAGTGACCTTGTCCCAGCAACACAATATATCTTCTCTATCCGCGCACACACGCACGCACGCACGCACGCACGCACTCAGATATATATATATATATATATAGCCACAGTTACTAGAGAAAAAACACTCAAAATATCAAAGATTACCCAAAGTTTTTTTTTTCTCCTTTTGTAACTATGGCTTAGTATTTATATAGATAAGTGCATTGCTAATTATGAACGAAGAATAGAAAAAAATAAATGAAAAACAGTAGAAAAAAACTCAAACCAGAGTGAGAGATGATTACCACAATATTTGAGGGCATGGGAATGAGGTTTTCCTGTTCTTTCGCAGAGTCTTCGTTCTCTCGTGACGAATTATTGGATTTAACATTGTCAAAGTTCAACTTTTGGCCACCATTAGATAATACCTCTTGAGCCTCCGCTATCACACCAGCATTTTTCTCACTCAATTGCTTCATAAGACCAAGAGCATCATAGCTTCTTTCACCAGGGCTCATAAAATATCTGAAATCCTGAAAATCCAACTTTTGTGAATAAGCCAATTTTTAACAAAAAGATTGAGGGGATTTACGAGGCCTTAATATTGTATGACAAAAACGTAAAAGCCTGCAGGATACAATGTTTTTTTGATTTGAAATATGAAGGAAAATTTACATGCATACCACATAATACTTGTGTATTTACATATCTAACAACTAAACTTTTATATTTACATTTATAGCATTTTTTGTGTCATAAACTAATACTATGCATAATAAGTACTATTTCACTTTTAAAAAACTAAGTAAAAGTGATGGGTTTGATGTGATATTGAAGATTTGAGTGCCGCGCATGTAAATATGAAAGTTTAGGTGTTAGATATGCAAATACATAAAAATTGTGCGGTATTTCAGTAAATGCCCTCAATATAAAATGTAAAATCGAAACACAATGTCCATCCATTCTATCAAGAAAAAAAACCATTGCTTTATACAGTTGGTATCATATAATATAATATATATCACATAAAAAGCTTAATAAAGTAATTGTCTCTAATATAAAATTGTGTGAGGTGAAAATAAAATGCCCCTAATATAAGATGCAAAATCAATGTCCATCCATTCTATAAAAAAAACATTGCTTTATATAGTATAATATAATATATATCACAGAAAAGGTTTAAAAATCAACAAAAGAAAAAGTGAAGTTGATTTAGTTGAAAATGTTTTTATCAGTGCATCTTATTATCAGTTACAAGCTGACATTAGCATTAATCATTAGACATGAATATATAGTTGTGAACAATGAAGAGAATCAGGGAAGGAAAAAAGAGAAGCAAAAACAGGAAAGGAAATGTTAGCTTGGTCGAGCTACCTCGCATGTAAAGTCTGCTCCTGCAAGAAATGAGTTAAGGAACAAGGGCGACTTCCATGATGAAGGAGAGTCTAAACCTTTTTTGATGCCAGGAGTATCAGCAAAGCTAAAAGGAGAAAGAAAACAAGATTATAAAACTTCAAAAAAGCATGTCGAAATAATCTCCTGACTGTTTAATGAGGACATTTTAGTCCCAAAATCTATAAAAGTACCAAATTAGTCCTTAGATCTTTAAATTGTTGCTGAAATTCCATACGGAAATTTTTAGCCTATATTAAAAAAGTCTGACAACTAAATGAATACTTGTATAGACTCTGGGACTAAAATGACCAAAGAATCATGGGACTATTTCGACACTTTTCTCATAAACATTCACTTCACTATCTCAAACTTCAGACACACAAGGCTTAAGAATATAAGTGGTCAAAATAAACAAAAGAAGGGAAGCCAGCTAAAAGGCAAATCATGAAGCTTCAAGGAATACAATAAAGGGCATACATAGCACCCAATTCCTATGTAATCACATAACTAACACCTAAAATTTACATTTTACTTTTAGAACACCCAAATTGTTCATATCACATCAAAAATACCAACGTTTTAACTTTTAAAATGTAAAATACAGCTTTTCATACATAGGTAAGGTGGCATGTATATAAAAATCGAAGTTTAGGTGCTAGATATGTAAATAAATATGAACTGAGGGGTATTTATGTAAATGTTCCTACAGTAAAATAGGACGGGATTTGTAAAAATTGTAGTATGTAGATTAATAGAACTAAACAAAAGTAATGATAGAGGAAAAAATAAAGAATCATACAATTGCTACACCTTCATAACTTACATATTAAAAATTTCATGGTCAGCATCAATGGATGGAGCAAACTTCTCAACAGCAATTTGTGGCTTCTTAGACGATGGCGGATATTGTAAAGATGTAAGCGTTACGGAACATTCAGCATGTTTTGTTCCACATGCACCAGGGGAAATAAAGGTAGAGCAAGCAGATAGAGATTCCAAATTACTACTAATACGCTCTGCTAATACTGCATTACATTGCTGCAAGAAAACCATGGAACGTTCCACAAAGTTACAAACAAATGAATTCTCCCAGAACTAAGTTAAAAGAGGAAATGAATTCTAAAAGAGATAAAGAGCAAACAGAAAAAATTTTGACAAGAACACATATCTCGTATAATCATTGCAAAGTTTCTGTAAAAGTAACATCTTTTGTACTGTATATGCATACAGGTATTACACTATTTTAATTTGAGTCCGCATTAGGGTCGAAAACGGCCGTCACTGAAAAATATAGTCGAGCATGCAAGCAATGCTGGCGTAACGATGCAATAGCGTCAAAAAAATCCGACGCTAATTAGCGTCGACTAGGACTGACACTAACTAACATCAGCCATATCCGACACTAATTAGCGTCAGGTTTTTCGACTTTATTGCATCGTTTTAGCGGTGACTTATATCGTTGGCTGATTGTAGGGTGTTAAATTGTAAGAAACAAAAAATACAACAAAACAATTATACATAACAAACAATCAAAATAATATAATATTTATCTATCATCACAACTCATAAAAGAAATCTCCAGCATACACATAATGATACCAAATCAGATTAAATATAAGCAAATTAAAGTGCTCAGCATTCACAAGACAAGAAACTGAAAGTTCGTACAATACAAAAATGAAAAAAACATAAAGTCAACCCCTATGTCGGGGGAACATCATCAAACACAGAAAAACCTAATCTTCATCCTACCCCTCCTCGGCCGGACACATGTGCAACTTGCTCTAGCGATCAAAACTCTCCATAAATCGTGCTAGGCTATCTGCAACGAGCTGATGGCCTTCACGCACATGCCGGAGCTCTTCATTCATCATCTTTACACATCTGCCAAGCTCTTCATGCTGAGCCTATAATGAGCTAGGGCCACCCAAAAGCTATCCCCTTTGCTCCGAGGCCATACACTCTCCCTTTCTTCTTCCCAGGTGTTCGCGTCCACAACTTGTAATGACCTAGGGCCACTTGCTCTAGTGATCAAAACTCTCCATAAAGCGTGCTAGGCTATCTGCAACGAGATGCTGGCCTTCACGCACATGCCGGAGCTCTTCATTCATCATCTTCACACGTCTGCCAAGCTCTTCATGCTTAGCCTGTAATGAGCTAGGGCCGCCCTAAGCTGCTCGAGAACGCTCGGCTTCAAACGCTATCCCCTTTGCTCCGAGACCGTACACTCTCCCCTTCTTCTTCTCCGGTGTCCGCGTCCACAACTCATAATCGGACAACAAAGTGGTATATTGACTATCACTGAACCTACACATGACACCAAAATTTTTCTATTTACATATATAACACACATTTCTTATGTATTTACATATCTCACACAAAAAATTTCATCCCTAAATACATAGCACAAATTTCTTATCTATTTACATATCTCACTCCAAAATATTTACATATCACGAAATTTCTTATACATTCACATATCTCATACCTAAATTTCATATTTAAATACATACCCCAATTTTCTTATACATTCCACATATCTCGCTCCTAAATTTCATATTTACATACATACCACAATTTTCTTATGCATTCACATATCTCACACCCAAATTTCATATTTACATACATACTACAATTTTCTTATACGTTTACATATCCTCACACCAAAATTTTCACACATAGCACAAATTTCTTATGTATTTACAGATATCACACCTAAACTTAGGGAAAACAATGAAATATATATGCATTGCGTACCTAACAATGAAATACAAAAAAAAACTTGAGCAAAACCTACGTATTTTTGGATCTAACACCTATGCAAGGAAAAAAAGAAGAAAACCTAGACTAAACCAAAGCTTAGAGACATGGAAGAAGATTTCTCACTTTGGATGGGGTTGGAGCGATGAATCAGACCCGAAATAACCGGAGAAGCTCGGAGGCCACAAAGGCGGCTGAAAGCCAAAGGAAATGAGTGCGAAGTAGAGCTACAGTTCACGGGAGGGCTATTTTAGGGCATTAGTGTCGGCCATGGCTAACACTAATAAGTGAGATTAGCGTCGGCCATAGTCGAAGCTAATCAAACTTTGTAGCATCGTCAATGCGTCGACTCGACGCAACTTTTCTGCGTCGATTTTTTGGAAGAGGAACAACGCGCCGACACTAAATCGACGCTAATCGGTCGCTAATTTTGCATCAGAAATAAGTCCGATGCTAATTCAAACCCAAATTCACAGTTTTCTTGTAGTGTATGTGTGAATATGAATGTTTAGGCGTGAAATATGTAAATGCAAAAGATTTGCGTGTTATTTATGTAATTTACTAAATTTTTCCTATTTACCGGCCACTATTGGCAGCAATGTAGGAATGGAAGATGTATCGATAAGTGAGAAAAAATGCACTTTCGATGACTTTAAGCTAGCATGGGTGGATGGACTAGCAGAGTTTAAGGAATTCATTTAAAGCTAACAATTTTAAGGCTGAAGACATAAAATATTAGGTCTAGGGATTAAAAATGTTGTAACCAAATTTGAAGTTCAAAAAGAGTTACATGTGGAGAAAATAAAATATCACAAAAGAAATGTAAAACAACATATTATCTTTTTTAAAAAAGTGGTGAAAATGTAAAACACCATATTATTTTTTTTAAAAAAGCCACATTTATTAATTTGATGATGATAGTAGCACATCAATGGCATTTATCAAGAACAACCAGAGCAAAAAGAGAAATATAATATGATAGAGAATACTACAAAGTTCTATTTGGATTATCTAGTTTGAAGAATAGCAAAAATAGGAGAGTGGCCATAAATTTTCTTTTGATTTTGAAGAGGAATTCAGATAGGGTTTAATATTGAAGAATGTAAATCTTAAAGAAGGTCCATCTATGTAAAGAAGGGAGCAAAACAATGGTTTTTACATGGAATATTATAAGGAGAGACCACACATAACCAACCACAAATGATATCAATGATTTAAATATTGAGTTATTTATAGAGAACATGACGATAAAACAAGATAAAACTTTAAAAAGTTCCTTCTAGTTGGAAAAATAGAAGGAATGTTGGGAATTAAATACCTATTTTTATCATTTTGGAGAGAATTTTTACAACAAAAAATACTTAAAATCAAAGCAAGCTTCAAGAATTCAAATCATAAAGACCAGTGAATTTTTAGGGTACAATAAAACTATTTGTGTTGAAGCATTAATATTTTTACAATGCTGGAAATAGTGGAAAATAGAGTTATGGCGGACAATTTAAAACAAATATTTAATTTTTGGTAAGATAATGTTTGTAGCGATTCATGACATCGCAACAATGAATTAAAAAAGAGTTTGAGTCATTTGATTGGGGTTTAAAGTGGAATCTTGAGTTCTAAAATGAATATATGATATGAATCAGAATATTTTAAAATTTATAACCGTCTAAAGAAACTCTAAAAGACTTTCTTCTTCTATGTAGATAATCAAGGAACACAATAAGGGCGAGGGCAACGAATATTTTCACCCCGTAGAGTGATCATAAGGATTCTCAACTTAAAATCACATTTTAAGTTCTTAAAATCTAGACAATTTTCAAGATATTCATAGCATTAAAGTTCAAAAAATTCATGCGAAATAGCATAAATTATTTTTTTCAAAGTTAAGGTTATATTTTCACAAAAGAAGAGATTAATACAAAATAAAGATTATGGTGCATACCACAATTCTTATGTATTGACATATCTAACACCCAAAATTTTATATTTACATTTATAACATTTTGATATTAAAAATGAATGCATGAAAAAGATGTACGTCACTTTTAAGATTTTAGTGCGAGTAATATTTTGATGTTATGTCAAAGATTTGAGTGATATGTATGATAATATGAAAGTTTAGGTTTTAGATGTGTAAAAATATAAGAATTTTGCGGTATGCTTGTAAATACTCCATTTAGAAAAAAATATTTATTTTTGATAAGATAGTGTGTGTATCATTCTAATAGTTCATGGGACTAAATAAGTAAATTAAAAAAAAATTGAGTAATTTGATTGCTAGAGTGGGATCTCAAGTTCTAAAATAAAAAAAGAAATACAATGAATTAGAAACTACTAAGATTTGTAGCTATTTTATAGAACTCAAGAAAATTTTCTTGTCAACTATAGTTATTCTAAGAGTACACTTACTGTGTGGGCAAAAAATATTTTTCCTCGCTCAAGAGATTCCAAGATTTCTCAACCTGAAATCTCACCCTGATTTTTAGAATAGAAACGATCTTCGAGATTTTATATTGTTAAAATAAAGACTCTTAGTTTTGTGGAAGACAAACAGTTGCTTTTTTTGAAATTTGAAGTTGAGTTTTTTCAAACGAAGCATATTATGGTGAAAATTTGAAAATATATTTATTTTTAGAAAGATGTTGCATGTACTATTGTAGCATGTTATTCAACTACAATAATGGTTTCTAGTCATAAAGACTAAGAGTAAATCTTCAAAGATCCCAATTCTTTTTACTCATATCTTCATTATAGAACTTCAAATTTAGATTTCAAGTTGAGAATTCTTAGAATCACTATAGGTGGAATAAGAATTAACAAGAACATATCAACATAGATTTTTGGGGGACAATGGATTCTAAGAATTCATAGTGCTATATATACCCCCTCTAGAGTGATTCCAAGAACTCTCAACTTGAAATATAAATTTTAATTTTTTAACTTAGGCCAATATTTGAGATTTCATAGTGCTATAAACCAATAGATTTGTGGGGGACAACATTAACTTTCTTTTTTTGTGACAGTCTGAGTTTAAGTTTTCTCAAATGAGGGGATCAAGGAAGACTAAAAATTGTGGTGCAAAATTTAGCAATGTTTGCATTAGTATAGGATCAACATTTAATTTAAAAAAAAATTAAGTAATTTGATTATTATCTAGAGTGGAATCTCAAATTTTGACATGAAAATCTAAATAAAATAAATCAGGATCTTCTAAGATTTATATCCAGCTTTATAGAACTCAAGAAGACGTTCTTTAATGAAGGAAGTCCAAGAACACT